AAACCTTTGCACTTTCTCTAGTTTCTTTATGGAGTACAGAGACAGTGCAAAGGTCTGCAACAAGACTAGTCCCAGAGCTAAGGGGTATGTCCTACAAGAAGAGGTCAAGGGAAATCGAACTGATGACACTGGAGGACAGGAGAGATAGGGGGGACATGATAATGACATATAAAATACTGAGAGGAATTGACAAGGTGGACAAAGACAGGATGTTCCAGAGATGGGACACAGCAACAAGGGGACACAGTTGGAGCTGAAGACACAGATGAATCACAGGGATGTTAGGAAGTATTTCTTCAGTCGCAGAGTAGTCAGGAAGTGGAATAGTTTGGGAAGCGATGTAGTGGAGGCAGGATCCACACATAGCTTTAAGCAGATGTAAGATAAAGCTCATGGTTCTGGGAGAGTGACCCAGTAGCGACCAGTGAAGAGGCAGGGCCAGGAGCTATGAATCGACCCCTACAACCACAATTAGGTGAGTACAACTAGGTGAGTACACACACACACACTAGGTGAGTATTAGGTGAGTACACACACTTGTGAATCCAGTAGGCACTGTGTATTGCATGGGTTATAATAAAAAGAAGCGCTAAACCCACTAGGGTCATACAGTGCTGTAGGGCAGGGGGTGATGCTGGATCATAGAGTATCAAGGGTGGAGAGGATAACAGAGGTAGAGTTAAAAAGGGCTGTGGGGAGTGCAAAAGAAAGTATTATCAAAGTCTGGGTAATAAATCGGTTGCTGTCAAAAAGTCAAACACAGGGTCCGAGTCAAAAGTGGAACTGTCAGCAAGGAGGAAAGATCAAGTAAGGTGTTAGAGCAGTGACGACGTTGGAGATAAATTCTGCGTGCTCGTTGATAGACAAGACAGTCCAACAGAATATGGCAAACTGAAGCCGGAATCTGACAATTCGCAGAGTGGAATAGGGCGCCTCTCCATGAGATATCTGTTAGACAGGTGTTCCTCATGCGAAGAAGGGAGAACGTAGTCTCCGAAACCTCGGTATCGATGATAAGGCTAGAAAACTAAATTGGCTTGATGGAATATAATTTGTTATGAGTCATATTGGACCAACGGTTGTGAAGGTGGCTAAAGATTACAGCAAAATAGTCTGAGAATGGCATACCTCTATATGAGACTGGGAGGTCAAGTACCAACAGTTCTTGAGCCCATGTCATGCTGCCACTGCCGAAAGCCCGGCCATATTATCTCAAACTGTCTCAAACTCCAAAGACTGTTTTCCACAGGCAGTAAGCTGTGCAGATCCTGTTCACAGTAATCTATAGGTAATATCGCATCATTACTAAATAATTCTACTTGCAAAGACAAAGTAGAGGCCTGCATGCCCCCTTTCTATAGCACCAGCCAGGCATCAGTAAGGGAGACTGATTCTCCAAGTTAAAATATTCAAGGACACATGTGCCTTTTGCTTCTTTTTAGAAAAGTAAGCACTTCCAACCTCTAATGCTGCCTCCCTGTATTCCTTAGGTGTACTAGAAGCATATGGAGGGGCTGTTTTTTTCAGTGCCCATACAAAGTATTTTTGTTAGGAGCAAATACTTCACCAGTTACTTTGTTGTGGGTGTGTTAGGTGAATTCCCTATGAAAGAGACATTGCTGTTTTTAAGTAATGATGTCATCTTTTTCAGATTGTCCTGGTCTTGTAGTCACTCGTGATAGCTCTGCACCTGAGCCTGTTCTAGTTACAGCAGTAACCTGGGCAATGACCAAGGGTAAGTCTTGTGACAATGCTGACCTTACTTTGTGAAACTCCAATCTTGGGATGGACAAATTGTTTAATGATGGGAACTGGCCAGGGCCTTGCAAATCAAGTGAAAGTTCCTTGATCAAGGCTTCCTATTCCTGTGTAGCAGGAATGCCAGATGCTCCTGATTCCATGCCCGACAGACTGCCTTCCCACTCATCAGACACTACCCTAACTTTCAATTTGCAGAGGCCCATGTTATACAAAGTGGATCAGGAAACTAAATCTCAAACACAGCAAGTACATGAATGGATCAGTATTCAACCTACCATCAGATTGCACTGAAGCAATATATAACTAGCTGATTGATACAGGTAGTGGTCAGCAATGAACCTCCTGATTTTACTCTAGCCACCCACCAAATGAAGTGTTGTTTACTAAAGGACAGCAACTCCATGGGAAACTTCAATCTTCAGGCTACTAGAAACAAGGAGTACATTGATTTATAATTAACAGCAAATTATATTCTTATTATTACATTCATGGGGTGAATGTTTAACCCATATGAGTTAATGGAAGGCTTCAAGCTCGATTCAAAAACCTGAAGCAGAGGTCCAATTTCTTATATCAAGTGTCCCTCACTAGCATCAAGGAACCACCCTTGAGAGGTGAAAATACGTAGGGACAGCGCTGTGAAATTTCTGCAAGCTCTGACCACCTTGGCAAGGAAAATCCCAGTCAATGTGGCTGGCCACAGGCACAAGTGCAAGCCATGAACCCTCCAATAAAGAAAGAAGTCTGCCCTCTGAGGACATACAGCTAGAATTTTTTCCATACATTTCTTCATAAATGCATGTATCAGTAGGTGTGACCACTTTTCTTATATTGTAACAGTGAGAAGTATGAAAATATGTTTTAACTAATTCTAGGACTGTTCATACATTATGAGGATATTGTAAATGCCATTACATTCTGGAAGAACTCTGCATCTCTTCTGATCTGTAAGCTTGAAACATCTGTATAACAAAAGGTTAAAAACAGATATAATGGTATTTATAGACAGTATAAGGCCGATTATACCAGCAGCATTTCCCTGTATTCGTTGAATGGTCAACATAACTAGTGACCTTACTAGGAAAAGAAAGGAAACTTACAACTAAGGAAGGATCAACTGTATTTGAACTAGATAGAGAAAGGAAGGAAACCTATAATAGTTAATGAAAGACCAATTGTGTTTAAGAGTTTAGAAGTTTTTGCTTTAACAAAGATGTTCCACAATTGTATTACTCTCTTAGAAAAGTACTCCCTGTAGTCTGTTCTGCAAGATGACCTCAGTAAGTGAAGAAGTTATGGTCTCTTGTTTGTGAAGCATTAAACAGCTTTAAGGAATCTTCTGTGCAGTTATCTATCTTGAGTATCTTAATACCTAAGAACAGTACAGAGAACAAAAATTGTCTTATTGTATGTTATGAGAGTGCTGGTAGATTTAAACATGAATGGAAATTTTCAGTATTTCATCTGAGAGTTAAGACACTTGTGCAACATCTGGTTACCTTTATTGTAGACGTTTCGCCATCCTGTGGCTTTATCAATACAGATTCTTGGACATAATTAGAAAACTTCCAGCAAGCGTGCGTGAGCGTGTTAGATAGGAGTGAATGGAGACGAATGGTACTTGGGACCTGACGATCTGTTGGAGTGTGAGCAGGGCAATATTTAGTGAAGGGATTCAGGGAAACCGGTTATTTTCATATAGTCGGACTTGAGTCCTGGAAATGGGAAGTACAATGCCTGCACTTTAAAGGAGGGGTTTGGGATATTGGCAGTTTGGAGGGATATGTTGTGTATCTTTATATGTGTATGCTTCTAAACTGTTGTATTCTGAGCACCTCTGCAAAAACAGTGATAATGTGCGAGTGTGGTGAAAGTGTTGAAAGATGATGAAAGTATTTTCTTTTTGGGGATTTTCTTTCTTTTTTGGGTCACCCTGCCTCGGTGGGAGATGGCCGACTTGTTGAAAAAAAAAAAAAATTAGAAAACACAAGAACTATATACAAAAGATGAGGTAATCAGTCCCTCAGCCTTGGAGGTGGTGTTTACACCACCTCCAAGAATCTGTATTGATAAAGCCACTGGATGGCGAAACGTCTACAATAAAGATAACCAGATGTTGCACAAGTGTCTTAACTCTCATCTTGTCGGTATTGTATACCTGTCTTGCACAGTATTTCATCTGCTGTAAATAATTTTTCTACATGAAAAAGCCGGAAACGAGACAAGAAAATGTACTGGCTAAGATGGAAGAGAGAATAATATGCATGTGTAAATAATGACTTACTGTACAACTGTAGTAAGAAAAATGAAAAAAATGCCAAAGCATGAAAAAATAATTTATTAGATACTAAGTTTTTTGACTGCAACAAAAATAAAAGACAACTGCAGTTATATACAGTATTATCAAAAACAGAAATTTATATATGAGGCACTAAATGGCATAAAAGAATAAGGACCAAATTCAAACACTAAAGGAAAAAGCAGTTAAAGTTGTGCTACATATTTTGACTCATGTCTGACTGTATGGAAGATGCAGAAGACAAAAAGTACACTTTCCCGTAAAAAATGACGAAACATTAACAAAGTGATTCATTCACTAACCTGGATTTTGGCCATGCTGCCGTTTATTCTTTTCTGCGATGAAGTGCCTCATTTATTAACAATAAACTATGCAACCCTGTTAAACTGATTTCAAAACAGCCATTATATTCATGATATTTAAAAGAATTTACAGTATAAAAAATGGTGCTTCAATTTTATATTTAAGTTGTTAAAAACCTTTGCTTGAAAGACCCTGAATAAAATAAGAAATTACACCTGAAATTATTTATGGTACATTACCATATAACCATTCATAGTACTGTATTACATAAGTGTTTACAAAAATGTTACAACTATACATGCATTTTTTCTTCATTAATCAAGGGTTATATTATAAATTTCAATTGCAACACTTAATATGTTTTGTTTGTATTTTTACAAAATTTTTAATTTTTATTAGTGCCAAATAAAATTAAAGTAGTATCTTTAAATATCCATTAATTAATAATGTTAAAAACTAAACTATATATACTGCACTGAATACAAGGCTTGAAAATAGATGTAACATAGCTCCATCACATCAGTCGGTCAGGACGAAAGAATTGGGTCCAAGAGTTGGAGCTTACTACAACAAACTGCAAATCATACAATTCTTCTTTTTCTTTCTATTAGCTTTAGACTTTCCCGAAACACTGCGCATAATATAAACCCTACATTAATATGATAAACAAAAACAAACTATTTCTATAATGCAGGGTACAGTATATTATACAATAAGGTGACTGACATGTATGAATACTTTATAGAAAGCCTTTTGTTATGCAAGGCATTTTGGGAAGTGTTTAAAGTAAATTATGATTATACATATATGAGAATAAGAATACATAGTTTTTAAAATACTGGAAGTATTTAGTTAATTCAATAAAAGCCTTAAAACTAAATCATGATTACAAGTATGTATAAAGACTAACGCGACAGTCTGGAGTTTTGAGACTCTCTGACCGCGGGTTCAAATCCCACCCGTGGTATGGTTTATAAAGACTAGATTTACATGTGATACACTAATGTTTTTATAAACTGACAAACCTCACTTACAAATGATGTTTTGATTATTAAATTCTGTAAGAAAATATGCAAATCCTTAGATGTCGTATATGTACATTATGGGTTCTTATTAAACATTTTTCACAAATGTTTGATTACTGTACTGTACACATAACTACAATTATTATTTAGAAGCTATATGAAAGCTGAAAATTTATTTTAAAAATAACCCATCAACAGTTTTGTATATTTTAACTTAATGGGCAGTGGTACATTTTAATGTTCCAAGTAATATATTCCTTTGAATATTTAAAAAATCAAATATCTTGTAGACAATATTGAAAAATATATGTAGTACATTCATCAGCAAAAATTAACATTGTTTTTCAAAAATCTTATCCATGGGGAAGTGGAAAAGAATCCTTCCTCCGTAAGCCAAGCATGTCATAAGAGGTGACTAAAATGTCGCGAGCAAAGGGCTAGTAACTCCTTCTCCTGTATAAATTACTAAATGTAAAAAAGAATCTTGTGTTTCTTCTTTTTCGGGTCACCCGCTGTGGTGGGAGACAGCTGGTGTGTTAAAAGAAAAAAAAGGTTTCAATATTTTTATGAAAATAGCAATCAATGTCTGGAATAACAATGAAAAACTTAATATTTTCATTAATGTCTGCAAATAATGACAAATACAGTATAATCCAATTTACAACTTTAATCATGTGCACTTTGAGCATGGAAAACAAGATTATCTGCACGAGATGCAATTTCAAAAATCTGCTTCAGTTGTTGATTCTTGCGATGATTCTCTATCTTCAATTTGTGCCTCGTCCCAAGGCCCATATATATTTCTAGAAGAAAGAATTAACAGAAATGGCTACAGTTAGAATGCCGACTTGTTAAAAAAAAAATAGATGTAATAAGAGCAATCATGGATATAATGACAAGTATGAACATGACAATAAACATTAACAACAAAAATGTATTTGTGCAAGAAAGGTACAAAATACTGACAATATGAAAGTTAAGACACATGTGCAACATCTGGTATCTTTATTGTAGACATTTTGCCATCCAGTGGCTTTATCAATACAGATTCTAGGACATAATTAGAAGATAGTAGAACTATATACAAAAGATGAGGTAATCAGTCCCTCAGCCTTGGAGTTAGTCTTCACAGCATTGTGGTGGTGGAGAATCTGGAGCAAAGGCAAGGAGACTGGCGGTTATATAGGCGTCAGTGGATAGGGACGTGTAGCAGACGAGGGCATAGTCACTGGTAGGCGGGATTCTTCACGGCTACTACAACTAACCAATCCCTTTGGGTAGGACCTACTTCCACTGGGTAATCCCACCTACCAGTGACTATGCCCTCGTTTGCTACACGTCCCTATCTATTGACGCCTATATAACTGCCAGTCTCCTTGCCTTTGCACCAGATTCTCCACCACCACGATGCTGTGAAGACTAACTCTAAGGCTGAGGGACTGATTACCTCATCTTTTGTATATAGTTCTACTATCTTCTAATTATGTCCTAGAATCTGTATTGATAAAGCCACTGGATGGCAAAATGTCTACAATAAAGATACCAGATGTTGCACATGTGTCTTAACTTTCATATTGTCGGTATTTTATACCTTTCTTGCACAACTTGTCAGACACTGCAACATCATGGAATCTTGGTTCAGAGGACATCTACAAGACCTTCTTCATGGCTACTACAACTAACCCATCCCTTTGGGTAGGACCTACTTCCACTGGGGAATCCCGCCTACCAGTGACTATGCCCTCATTTGCTACACGTCCCTATCCACTGACGCCTATATAACCACCAGTCTCCTTGCCTTTGCTCCAGATTCTCCACCACCACAATGCTGTGGAGACTAACTCCAAGGCTGAGGGGCTGATTACCTCATCTTTTGTATATAGTTCTACTATCTTCTAATTATGCCCTAGAATCTGTAATGATAAAGCCACTGGATGGTGAAATATCCAGATGTTGCACATGTGTCTTAACTTTCAAAAATGTATTTGATGATGAATATGGATACAATGACAACAATAATAGATAAAATGACATTGAACCTGGATATGACAAAAATGGATATCATGCTACTGAACACAGATATAATACCAACAAAAATGGATCAGGAGATATGGCCAGGAGCTATGAATCAACTCCTTCAACCACAAGTAGGTGAGTACAATGAAAATGGAACTTTGCATTATATATACAGCAGACTGCCATGTTTTGCACATCCAAGCACAGTACTGCCAATACATCACTACTGATATTATGCATCTTGTTACCACCATTTTTGCTTAGAGGAGGGGAATTTTAGCAAAATATGAAAAATTATTGTGCTTCTATCTGTGCTTTGTGGATAACTGGTGTAAAACTGTACTAAGCCCTAAGAAAGCTCCAGCAGATGAGGCATCTCTGGTCTAGTAATCTGGAGTTTTATGCATTTAAAAGAGCACCATTATGTATTATCGTACTGTATTCAAAAACACAAGATGCAATCAGTCTTAGCAATTAATCTGACATGGTAACTACCCTTCACCCAAAAATAATAAAAAGACTTACTGCTTATAACTCTGGAAATAGATATAAAGGGCTGGGATGAGGAAGTTACAAATCATTATTGCTAAATAGAAGACGAGATACAGCTGTGAAGCAAACTGATGAATTCCAATAGAGGTACACATCACCACCACTAAAGTCATCAGAAGATCACAGCCTTTTCCAAGGTGAACCTGTTAAGTAAAGATTTATCCTGGTTGCATAAAGTAAGTAAAACAAATTATGAAATTATTAAATTATGATATTATTAAAGTAGCTCATTATTTGCACTTTGAGGCTTGCCAAACAAACATGGTAAGAAGATAAACTATAATCAAAACTGCTGGAAGAACATGTATAATACAGTATGTGCTACAACCACTGAAAATTTAAAACAATATGCATGATATTAAAGAAGATGGGAAACCACATGCAGAGCTATTCTACTGTAACAAAATGAGTATAATGAGATGGCACGCACGTCTTGCACTTGGAACAAAAGATGAAGCTTCTGTCACCCCATAAGCAAAATGACCCACTTAAGTTTAGCACTTCATATAAAAATAATAATTTGCTCCTGTAAATACAAAAAAAAAGTAATTACTCATTAAACCACAGGCAGAATGTGGACGACTAAATATATTACTCAATTATTTTGGAAAACCAAAAGCAGTGGACAAATGTACAAAATTTACTTAAATTCTTAACATGAATTCGTGTGTTAAGAGTTAGAAGTATAGAGCTAAATTAGTTTAACATTTCAACGTTTGTTAACACAATGGCCATTTCTCACAAACGTAAGGTGACCCAAAGGTAGGAAACACATTCTTCATCGCTCAGTCTAGAGTGGTCTTTCAAGAACTGTAAGGACATACACAGAGCAGGAATGCAGATAAAATTAGCAAGAGGAAAAGGAGCATTGTAACACACTATATTTAAAGAGGTGCAAAATCTTTGTGGGTCACTCTGAAAAAAGGTCCATTTATGGTGGAGGCTCAATCCTCTGTCTGGTAAGCATTAGTAAACCCATTATCCTGCTGTATCTTAACCAGTTACACTATAAATTAGAGACCTATGGCTGAGGTGTACTAAGTTGACTTACCCGGTAGTATCTTCTAAAGCTGGGGAAGAGTGCAAAGAGTGCTACAGCTACAGTCATTAAAGTAAAGACGTCAAGGCCACTGTCCAGTCTGGAAGCCAAACAAACTGACGCGAACACTCCAACATTGTGTGAAACAGTTGGATTAACACTTTGGGAAAATAGAAAATACTGTATATAAGAACTTTATCCTGTATATATTTACATGAATACAGCCTCTCCTCACTTAACAACGAAGTTCCGTTCCTAAGACCACGTCGGTAAATGAATTCATCGGTGAGGAGCATACTATAATGGTAGTGGGTTTGTATCAACCATCTTTGATATTGTTTTAATGTCACCTTTGCACCATTTATAACATTTCTGGTATATTTTTAAATGTTTATACAGTAGTGTACTGTATATTGTAATAAACAGAATAGAAGAAATCAGCTCTAATATACTTATTTAGGTATGCATACTGGTCAGAGAGCCCGTTGTAAGTCCGATTTGTCGGTAAATGAGTACGTTACTAAGTGAGGAGAGGCTGTAATTATATCCATATTTTTAAATCCTTTTTGAATGCAAACCACCACACTCAAATAATGCTGATTAAAACCGTGAGCAATCTTTAATGTAAGTTTTCATTTGCTAAAACCTAAACTCAACAAATACAGATTCTGCTTTTTAAGTTTAAATGCCAAATTACTGGTATGTGATTATTTCTGTTTTTGTTTTTGAAGTTTAGGTTGTGATGTCAAAAAAGTTATGTGAATACCTCTGCTTTTATACTATAAGAATGATCAATACTGAAAGAAAAATTATCTGAAGAAAAAAGTGAATTTGTGTTGGCAAGGAATTTCCTCTTAAAATTAAAGTGTATAAAGGCATTTTAATAAAGAAAGTAACGTCAACTCCAGTGGATGTATATACGTACAGTATTTCTATATAGCTGCATACATAGCCGATAAGGCCAGGATGCATGTTACCTTCCCACAGTTTCCATACCTTTTAAGCATTTATTCCATTGTGTGGTAGAAATTTAAGACAAGTTCCCAGAGCTTTGAGAAACAATACGGCAACCTCATCAAGGTGAGACCACCATCACACTCATTAGGTTATGAGTTAAGTTCCTGGAGTCACAGCATGCTGTACAACAGCCTGTTACACATTATCATTAGTGGCAAAATCACATATTTGTAAGTTATTTCCTCAAGAAGTCTTGACCAAGGTTCCTAACCACTCGATCTGGCTGGTAAGCAATTGCAATCAGGTGTAATAAGCCATTATACCTTGGCTTTGTGGGCTTGACGTAAATTTTTACTAAGCTTCGACTAATGTAATGGTGTTATGATGGGACAGATAGAGGAATAATGTACATCCTGGTCTTATTATTGGTTATATATGTAGCTATATCTCCATGGGGAAGTGGAACAGAATTCTTCCTCCGTAAGCCATGCGTGTTGTAAGAGGCGACTAAAATGCCGGGAGCAAGGAGCTAGTAACCCCTTCTCCTGTATATATTACTAAATGTAAAAGGAGAAACTTTCGTTTTTCCTTTTGGGCCACCCCGCCTCGGTGGGATACGGCCGGTGTGTTGAAAGAAAGAAAGATGTAGCTATATGGGCATAGATGCATCTCCAAGAAAATACCTGTTACCTTATTTAGTTAAATGAAAATATCACTGGTTTCAAGAAAGAATGTTTTATTAACTTACATCAAATAAGCATAGTATGATTAAACCTGTTGCCAAGACTTCAATTTATGATCTTATGTTACCCACATGCAACAGTCACTTTACTATATCTCAAGCACATTCCTAAATTAAGTACCTTTAAAAATTCTTTAAACCTTCCTACCATTCTCAGTATTACAATACTTATATTTTTTTTTCCAACAATACGGCAGTATCCCACTGACGTAGGGTGACCCAAAAAGGAAGAAACACTGTTACCATCACTCACTCTATCACTGCCTTGCCAGAGGGGCATTGATACTACAGTTCAAAACTGCAAATATCCATACTCCTCCTTCAGAGTGCAGGCACTGTACTTCCCACCTCCAGGCCTCAAGTTCAACTAACTGGTTTCCCTCTATCTCTTCATAAATGTTACCTTGCTGACACTCCAACAGCACATCAAGTTATAAAAACTACTTGCCTCCACTCACTCCTATCTAACATGCTCACACAAGCTTACTGGATATCTAAGCCCCTCACATACAAAATCTCCTTTACCCCCTTCCTCCAACCTTCAATGAATACCATTATTGTATTACTTGTAGCATCTAGTAATCAAATACTTCATTATTGTCAGAAAGATATCAGTTTATTTAAACAAAAATTTATGCAGCATATATTTCCTTGAATAACTAAAGTGTAATGATCATTTGTCAATGCTCAATAATAACCCAAAACACAGAAGGCTGATTGACCTGTATATTTTGACCCATTTCTAGGGTCCTCTTCAGCTGATCTGTTGAAGAGGATCCCAGAAAGGGGCCAAAATATACAGATCAATCAACCTCCTGTGTTTCTGTCTTCATATGAGTTATTATTGACCATTTCACTGAATATTTAATACTGCACTCTAGTAGGCAGAGGTAATTTTTTTACAGCTCACTATGTTTAGGTATTTCAATAAAAAAACTTTTTTTTTTTTCAACAAGTCAGCCATCTCCCACCCAGGCAGGGTGACCCAAAATGAAAATACTTTCATCATCATTCAACACTTTCACCACACTCATACATAATCAATGTTTTTGCAGAGGTGCTCAGATACAACAGTTTAGAAGCATATATAAAGATACAATATAAAAAGTGACCTGAAATAATATAATACACTCCCTATAGAATATAATACAGTGGACCCCCGGTATTCGATATTAATCCGTTCCTGAGAGCTCATCGAATACCGATAATATCAAAAACCGAATCAATTTTCCTCATAAGAAATAATGGAAATCAAATTAATCCGTGCAAGACACCCAAAAGTATGAAAAAAAAATTTTACTACATGAAATATTAAGTTTAATGCAATAGAATAATTACAATAACAATAAAATAATTGACACTTACCTTTAATGAAAATCTGGTGATGATTGATGGGATGGGAGGAGGGGAGAGGTGTTAGTGTTTAGAAGGGGAATCCCCTTCCATTAGGACTTGAGGTAGCAAGTCCTTTTCTGGGGTTACTTCCCTTCTTCTTTTAATGCCACTAGGACCAGCTTGAGAATCACTGGACTTCTGTCGCACAACAAATCTGTCCATAGATCTCTGTACCTCCCATTCCTTCACGATTTGTCTAAAATGGGCCACAACATTGTCATTGTAATAGTCACCAGCACGGCTTGCAATAGCTGTGTTAGGGTAATTTTCATCCATAAAGGTTTGCACTTCAACCCACTGTGCACACATTTCCTTAATTTTTGAAGTAGGCACAATGGATTCCACAACTGGCATAGGCTTCTCAGGGTTAGCCCCAAACTCTTCAAAATCTTTCTTAATTTCCATACTAATTCTCACCCTTTTTACCACAGGGTTGGCACTAGAAGCTTTCTTGGGGCACATGGTGACTTACTTTGCAGAAACAAGCACCAAACACAGTGATAATATGGAATGTACCGAATGTATCCTTAGATGCGCGCACACTGGCTGGCTTGTAAACACTGGCACACACAGGGCAGTTCAGGCCACACATGGACAGGTCTCGTACGAATCGTATCGAATATCGGGTTTTCAATCGAATACCGAGGAAAATTTTTTGCGATATAATGCATCGAATACCGGATTTATCGAATACCGGGGGTCTACTGTATCAGGGCCCCAATTATATATATACCGTCTTTAAATGAATACTAATACACATCCCTCCAAACTGCCAATATCCCAAACCCCTCCTTTAAAGTGCAGGCACTGTACTTCCCATTTCCAGAACTCAAGTCCAGTTATATAAAAATAACCGGTTTCCTTGAATCCCTTCAATAAATATTACCCTGCTCACACTCCAACAGCTCGTCAGGTCCCAAAAACCATTCGTCTCCATTCACTCCTACCTAACACTCTCATGCATGCTTGCTGGAAGTCTAAGCCTCTCACCCACAAAACCTTCTTTACCCCCTCCCTCCAACCTTTTCTAGGACGACCCCTACCCCGCCTTCCTTCCCCTACAGATTTATACGCTCTCCATGTCATTCTACTATGATCCATTCTCTCTAAATGACCAAACCACCTCAACAATCCCTCTTCACCCCTCTGACTAATACTTTTATTAACTCCATACCTTCTCCTAATTTCCACACTTCGAATTCTCTGCATAATATTTACACTACACATTGCCCTTAGACAGGATATCTCCATTGCTTCCAACTGCCTCCTCACTGCAGCATTTACAACCCAAGCTTCATGCCCATACAAGAGTGTTGGCACCACTATATTTTCATATAGTATTCCCTTCTTTGCCTCCACTGATAATGTTTTTTGTCTTCACGTATACCTCAACTTCTTATTCTTTTTAGTAATTATTACAGGAAAAGGGGTTACTAACCCACTGTTCCCGGCATTTTAGTTGACTTTTACAACATGCATGGCTTACGGGGAAAAGATTCTTATTCCACTTCCCCATGGATATAAAAGGAAAAGTAATAAGAACAAGAACTAAGATAAAATCAAAGAAAACTCAGATGAGTGTGTATAAATAAACATGTACATGTATGTTTAGTGTGACCTAAGTGTAAGTAGAAGTAGCAAGACGTACCCGTAATCTTGCATACTAATGAGACAGAGAAAAGACACCAGCAATCCTACTATCATGTAAAACAATTACAGGCTTTCGGTTTACACTCACTTGGCAGGACGGTAGTACCTCCCTGGGTGGCTGCTGTCTACCAACCTACTACGTGTTAGATAGGAGTGAATGGAGACAAATGGTATTTGGGACTTGACGAGCAGTTGGAGTGTGAGCAGGGTAATATTTAATGAAGGGATTCAGGGAAACCGGTTATTTTATATAATCAGACTTGAGTCTTGGAAATGGGAAGGATGATACCTGCACTCTAAAGGAGGGTTTTGGGATATTGGCAGTTTGGAGGGATATATTGTGTATTTTTATACGTATATACTTCTAAACTGTTGTATTCTGGGCACCTCTGCAAAAACAGTGATTATGTGTGAGTGAGGTGAAAGTGTTGAATGATGATGAAAGTATATTCTTTTTGGGGATTTTCTTTCTTTTTGGGTCACCCTGCCTCGGTGGGGAAATGGCCGCCGACTTGTTGAAAAAAAAAAAAAAAGTATACCTCAGCGCACCACTCAGCTTTTTTCCCTCAACAATTCTATGGTTAACCTCATCCTTCATAAACCCATCTGCTGACACATCAACTCCCAAACATCTGAAAACATTCACTTCTTCTATACTCCTTCTCTCCAATGTGATATCCAATTTTTCTTTATCTAAATAATTTGATACCATCATCACCTCTATCTTATCTTATGTACAGTAATCTGCTACACAATATCTGTGGCAGTGCTCAAATTTACTATGATATTTAGGAGTGGTGAAAGTTGTATGAACTGGATGAAACTGAACATGCTTAGCTTTCTTGTCACATAATACACCATCAGCCTTTTGTTGTAGGTGCTTACTGACTATGAAAACTGAAAATGAGTCAGAGGTGAATGATGAGCTACAAGTAGCATACATAAATTGAAGTAAAATCAATTGGAATATAACAATTGAATGAATGATGGTAAATGTGTTTCCTTATTTGGATCACACTGCCTTGGCAAGAGATAACTGTTGAGGTAGAAAGAAAAACTGAGTTGTGATGTCTATGTACTTCTGAGAGAGAAGAAAAAACTAAAGAATAAGAAATGGTGAATGTATTTTCCACTACAAGTACAGTATTTTTAATTTCAACACATCAGCTATTTCCAACCAACAAAGAATGACAAAAAAAACACTCAACACTCAGTCTTCAGCTAGCCGTCTTTCCAAAAGCACAAGGCTATCACAAATCAAATGATCCACCAAATTTTGACATCCCCAGTGATAACAGAAAATTATAATCAAATATACTGCCCTTCTACAAATGATTTATCAATCATCCATATGATCTGCATATTATCCCAAACCTTTCAAATACCTATTTAAATTTTACTACACTAAATGAAATAATTATGCACAAATGGTTCTGTTATTTCCATATAACTACTGTACCTACATTTAAAAATCAATTATGCAACTTACATAGCAACTGGTGTCCCATAATCATGAACTGCAAGGCGCAAGATTAACAAAAACGCAGTGCAGGCATTTATGGAATCTGTTGCGACGCTGCCTGTGAGGCTCTTGACTATGGGAGAAGCACATGCTATCAAAACCACATAGAAACATGCCACCTTCATGTCACCCTTAACTGAAATAAAATTACAATGCATTACATACATTTTTCTGAAAGCATGGCAAGATTGTGATACATGTGCATTACTTGGTCATCATCATTGAAGTCTGCAGTGCATGAAAAATTTACAGCTGTGTATTGCACAAAAACAGGAAAGTATGATAATGAGAGACTGCTTGAGATATACAGTATAGTCACAGATAATGAGATGATCAGTGTAAGAATACCCTGTCACAATAGAGTATGGCATGCACGATACTGTATTACAGTAGACTACCACTTTTTGTGCCTCCACCTACTGCATTTCTGCCCTATTTGCAATTTTTTTTTTTGTATCTATTTCCACCTTTCACTCTGAAGATTCACTACCTATTGCAGCAACTCTTACCTTTTTCATTGTTAGCAGTTTAGTTTCAATAGTTAAGTTATAAAAAATCTTGATTAGTGTTTTACCAAATTCATTCATACTATGTGTATGCTCATTTTATGCATGTATTGAGAGTTCTCTTATTCTTTTTAGTAATCTTTACAGGAAAAGGGGTTACTAGCCCATTGTTCCCGGCATTTTAGTTGACTTTTACAACACGCATGGCTTACGGAGGAAAGATTCTTATTCCACTTCCCCATGGATATAAAAGGAAAATTAATAAGACCAAGAACTATTAAGATAAAATCAAAGAAAACTCAGATGAGTGTGTATAAATAAATGTGTACATGTATGTGTAGTGTGACCTAAGTGTAAGTAGAAGTAGCAAGACATGCCTGTAATCGGGTGAGATATAAGCGACTATTGGCAGAAAGGTGGGCTAGTGCAAAGATGAGTAGTGGGGGGGTTGAAGAGGGTTGGAATAGTTTTAAAAATGCAGTATTAGAATGTGGGGCAGAAGTTTGTGGTTATAGGAGGGTGGGGGCAGGAGGAAAGAGGAGTGATTGGTGGAATGATGAAGTAAAGGGTGTGATAAAAGAGAAAAAGGTAGCTTATGAGAGGTTTTTACAAAGCAGAAGTGTTATAAGAAGAGCAGAGTATATGGAGAGTAAAAGAAAGGTAAAGAGAGTGGTGAGAGAGTGCAAAAGGAGAGCAGATGATAGAGTGGGAGAGGCACTGTCAAGAAATTTTAATGAAAATAAGAAAAAATTTTGGAGTGAGTTAAACAAGTTAAGAAAGCCTAGGGAAAATATGGATTTGTCAGTTAAAAACAGAGTAGGGGAGTTAGTAGATGGGGAGATGGAGGTATTGGGTAGATGGCGAGAATATTTTGAGGAACTTTTAAATGTTAAGGAAGAAACAGAGGCAGTAATTTCATGCACTGGTCAGGGAGGTATACCATCTTTTAGGAGTGAAGAAGAGCAGAATGTAAGTGTGGGGGAGGTACGTGAGGCATTACGTAAAATGAAAGGGGGTAAAGCAGCTGGAACTGATGGGATCATGACAGAAATGTTAAAAGCAGGGGGGGATATAGTGTTGGAGTGGTTGGTACTTTTGTTTAATAAATGTATGAGAGAGGGGAAGGTACCTAGGGATTGGCAGAGAGCATGTATAGTCCCTTTATATAAAGGGAAAGGGGACAAAAGAGACTGTAAAAATTATAGAGGAATAAGCTTACTGAGTATACCAGGAAAAGTGTACGGTAGGGTTATAATTGAAAGAATTAGAGGTAAGACAGAATGTAGGATTGCGGATGAGCAAGGAGGTTTTAGAGTGGGTAGGGGATGTGTAGATCAGGTGTTTACATTGAAGCATATATGTGAACAGTATTTAGATAAAGATAGGGAAGTTTTTATTGCATTTATGGATTTAGAAAAGGCATATGATAGAGTGGATAGAGGAGCAATGTGGCAGATGTTGCAAGTATATGGAATAGGTGGTAAGTTATTAAATGCTGTAAAGAGTTTTTATGAGGATAGTGAGGCTCAGGTTAGGGTGTGTAGAAGAGAGGGAGACTACTTCCCGGTAAAAGTAGGTCTTAGACAGGGATGTGTAATGTCACCATGGTTGTTTAATATATTTATAGATGGGGTTGTAAAGGAAGTAAATGCTAGGGTGTTTGGGAGAGGGGTGGGATTAAATTATGGGGAATCAAATTCAAAATGGGAATTGACACAGTTACTTTTTGCTGATGATACTGTGCTTATGGGAGATTCTAAAGAAAAATTGCAAAGGTTAGTGGATGAGTTTGGGAATGTGTGTAAAGGTAGAAAGTTGAAAGTGAACATAGAAAAGAGTAAGGTGATGAGGGTGTCAAATGATTTAGATAAAGAAAAATTGGATATCAAATTGGGGAGGAGGAGTATGGAAGAAGTGAATGTTTTCAGATACTTGGGAGTTGACGTGTCGGCGGATGGATTTATGAAGGATGAGGTTAATCATAGAATTGATGGGGAAAAAAGGTGAGTGGTGCGTTGAGGTATATGTGGAGTCAAAAAACGTTATCTATGGAGGCAAAGAAGGGAATGTATGAAAGTATAGTAGTACCAACACTCTTATATGGGTGTGAAGCTTGGGTGGTAAATGCAGCAGCGAGGAGACGGTTGGAGGCAGCGGAGATGTCCTGTTTAAGGGCAATGTGTGGTGTAAATATTATGCAGAAAATTCGGAGTGTGGAAATTAGGAGAAGGTGTGGAGTTAATAAAAGTATTAGTCAGAGGGCAGAAGAGGGGTTGTTGAGGTGGTTTGGTCATTTAGAGAGAATGGATCACAGTAGAATGACATGGAAAGCATATAAATCTATAGGGGAAGGAAGGCGGGTAGGGGTCGTCCTCGAAAGGGTTGGAGAGAGGGGGTAAAGGAGGTTTTGTGGGTAAGGGGCTTGGACTTCCAGCAAGCGTGCGTGAGCGTGTTAGATAGGAGTGAATGGAGACGAATGGTACTTGGGACCTGACGATCTGTTGGAGTGTGAGCAGGGTAATATTTAGTGAAGGGATTCAGGGAAACCGGTTATTTTCATATAGTCGGACTTGAGTCCTGGAAATGGGAAGTACAATGCCTGCACTTTAAAGGAGGGGTTTGGGATATTGGCAGTTTGGAGGGATATGTTGTGTATCTTTATATGTTTATGCTTCTAGATTGTTGTATTCTGAGCACCTCTGCAAAAACAGTGATAATGTGCGAGTGTGGTGAAAGTGTTGAATGATGATGAAAGTATTTTCTTTTTGGGGATTTTCTTTCTTTTTTGGGTCACCCTGCCTAGGTGGGAGACGGCCGACTTGTTGAAAAAAAAAAAAAAAAAAAATTGAGAGTTCTCATTTGCTTGGTAGAGATTGGACAAGAATCACAGATTTTATATTTACAATTTTGTTAAAGTTGAATTATTAGCATTATTTATATCCTCTGTTAGCTTTTAACCAAATGCATTTATATTTTCTGTAAAATCACTCTATATATGTAGAGAGAGCTCACATATTTATCTGGAAGAGATTGGTCAAGAACTACAGATTTAATAACTGAAAACCATAAGTGACTTAAAGATGTTGAGTACTCAACAACTCAAGAGACACTGAGGTGGGGTAGCGCAGCTGGATGACCTCTTGCCTCATCCTCCACCCATCCACTCTTATGTTTACTCTTTCTTTTCATCACCCTGTCTTTTCTCTGGAGGTGCTAACAAGATGAATAAGAATGAAAGTCTGAGTGTTTTTAAAAGGAAAACAAGAAAACTGTGTAGTAAAGATATAGTGGGCCCAAGTATTGTATGAGCCATGTCCATATTCTCTGTAAAGAGTGCATGACCATTTTCTATGGAAGAAATACATGGTAACTGTGTCTAGTACATGCTTCCCTTAGGAGCTTTACTTAACTATATTTAGTTTTTTATTTAGGTTCTGGGTACACATTATTTTCCTTACAACAGTCTCTGTGGTACACACATTATTGGCACATACAAGTATACATGCTTGAAGCTTTAAATCTCACTACACTGAACTATGCATAGTAGGGCAACATTTCATTTCACTTAACAAGTGGTTGTCTATTTATGTCTAATGTCATGTGAGGTGTAACTGGTCACTCCATTAGGATTATACCCAGGCTCAGGGTAGCCTATTCAAATGAAATAAGATGATTACATTATATGATCTTTTTTTTTATATTAATAATGGTATGGCCTGGTAGGCAATTCTCTCACCTCACACAAAAAGTGTCTGTGGTTCAATCCCCGGCAAGGGTGGGAACAATGGGTGTGTTTCCTTACACATGCTGTAACCGTTCACCAAGCAAGCAGGTAAATACAGTGGACCCCCGCATAGCGAACTTAATCCGTGCAAGAGGGCTGGTCGTTATGCGAAATGTTCGCTATGCGAATTAATTTTCCCCATAAGAAATAATGGAAATAAAATTAATCCGTGCAAGACACCCAAAAGTATGAAAAAAAATTTTTTTTACCACAAAAAAATGTTAATTTTAGTACACACAAACTGAAAAAGGCATGCACAATTACATGACACTTACTTTTATTGAAGATCTGGTGATGATTGATGGGATGGGAGGAGGGGAGAGAGAGTGTTAGTGTTTAGAAGGGGAATCCCCTTCCATTAGGACTTGAGGTAGCAAGTCCTTTTCCGGGTTACTTCCCTTCTTCTTTTAATGCCACTAGGACCAGCTTCAGAGTCACTGGACCTCTGTCGCACAACAAATCTGTCCATAGAGCTCTGTACCTCCCGTTCCTTTACGATTTGTCTAAAATGGGCCATAACATTGTCATTGAAATAGTCACCAGCACGGCTTGCAACAGCTGTGTCAGGGTGATTTTCATCCATAAAGGTTTGCAGTTCAACCCACTGTGCACACATTTCCTTAATTTTTGAAGTAGGCACAATGGATTCCACAACTGGCATAGGCTTCTCAGGGTTAGCCCCAAACCCTTCAAAATCTTTCTTAATTTCCATACTAATTCTCACCCTTTTTACCACAGGGTTGGCACTAGAAGCTTTCTTGGGGCCCATGGTCACTTATTTTCCAGAAACAGCACCGAAAACACTGTAATAATACGAAATATTCCGAGTGTATGCTTGAATGTTACCGCGGAGGCTGGCTGGTAAACAATGGACGCGTCTCGGACGAAGGTCGCTGAGCGGGTTTTTGTCCACTATGCGGGGCAAAATTTTGGCGAACAAAGCGTTCGCTATGCGGATTGTTCGCTATGCAAGGCGTTCGCTATGCGGGGGTCCACTGTACCTGGGTGTTAGTCGATTGGTGTGGGTCGCATTCTGGGGAACAAGACTGAGGACCCCAATGGAAATAATACAGACAGTTCCTCGATGATGCACTGTCTTTCTTGGGTTACCCTGGGTGGCTAACTCTCTGGGGTTAAAAATCTAAACAAAATCTTATCTTCAGCTAGGGGGTAAGTTGGTGGACAGCAAACACCAAGGGAAGTACATGTACTACCATCCTGCCAAGTGTGAAACGAAAACCTGTAACTGTTTTACATGATGGTAAGATTGCTGGGGTCTTTTTTCTGTCTCATAAACATGTGGGATATATCTTGCTACTTCTGCTTACTCTTAGGTCACAGTGCACATGCATGTACACACATATATATTTACACATCCATCTGAATTTTCTTCAATTTTCTAAATAGTTCTTCTTCATTTCCTCTTATCTCCATGGGTAAGTGGAAAAGAATTTTCCCTCTGTAAGCCATGAGTGTCGTAAGAGGAGGCTAAAATGCTGGAAGAAAAGAGCTAGTAACCCCTTCTCCTGTATAAATTACTAAAATTAAAAAGAGAAATTTTTGTGTTTCTTTATGGGTCACCCTGCCTCGGTGGGATATGGCCGATTTGTTGAGAAAGAAAAAAGAATTTACCTTTGTTTTGTTAATACTAATGACTTCAAGAGTTCTTACCTGAGGCAGCAAGTTGGGCTCTCGTCATAATGTACCCAGCAACACCCACGGATGCTGTTAATGTTAAAACTACTGAAGCATTTAGATTGCCTTCTGATATGCCGAAGAATATCACAACTAGACCAACACAACTGTAAAATAATATTAAATTTGTATGTGCTGTTTAAATTAGTGATAACCAATCGTAAATAAGATTGTAAAATACAAAAAAGGGCAATTTAACCCTTTAACTGAGGTATACCCAGAAAATGAATTTCCTGTGTGTATGGCAAGATTTTGAAAGAAAAAAAAAATTCTTAAAGATTGAGAGTGCATTTTTATGAGATAAATAAGACTAAAATGAGTGGAATCTGAGAAAAACTTACAATTTTACAGTGAGTTGCAGTTGGGGAAAAAATTACTACCTGTTGGCAACAGTATAAATTGGTGCAAATAATTTTTATTAAACATTTTTACAGCTTTGGTTTTCTGATGCTACATACAAAGAATACTTATGATATTACAATTGTTTCGCTGTGTTATGCTCCTCAAAACATGGAAATAAGTCACATTTTTTTGTACTGAATTTGGTTGCATTTGGTTAATAATTATGTTATATGTATATTTTGGTTTATGAGAATATACTGAATTATATAAACATAATGTAATTTCTGTGTCCATAACAACAGTGAGACTTTAAGACAACTGTAAAACATATATTTATTTATAGGGAAATCTTAATATATTACAGTTGTGTCAAGGTGTACTACTCATCAGAACATGAAAATATTGTAAGTCACATTGCTTGACTAAAATATTTGGTTACCCCCTAAGTTAAATCTACATCATGCAATTTTTGACTGAGTTCAATTTTTAGTATCATGAAATTGTTATGAATTTGGAAAGAATAAGGCATCTTCCTGTATGTTCCACACCCTGCTTGCTGACAGGGGCTGGTGGTGGAACAAGTTCAGGTTTCATTGTTTGCTTATGCTAGTTATGTAGTACTACCCATGATGCACTACCTGGACCTGAATGGTTTTAAATTTTTTCAAAGGCATGGAGAGGTTGTAGGAGACCCAAACTGTTGTGCTGAGGTCAAAAATACTGACAGGTACATCAGCCAGTCATCATTTGCATACTACTATGTTGGACATAGTTAAAAAGCTAGGATATGAGCTCAACATACTATAATGTTATTATGATGGCAAAGAACTTAGTAAATATGAACTTGGGTACTGTACTTTAGTGGCAGGAAACTACAGATTCATATCTCTGAACATGGGAGTATCAATATGGAAAAACCACTACATCATTGTTTAATGCAACATGTCAACATGCCCAAGACTCTTGACTACAAATAAACTTAAGCTCCTTTAAAATTTTATCAAGCCTTTCTGAAGATACTGAACAAAATATCTGAAAGATAAATGTTTTTCCACAGTATGTAGGAATACCCCTGATGAATTTAAATTTACGTTTGCTTACTGATACTGCTGTATCTTAGTTTTTATATACAACATAAAGAGTCAATTTTCATCATAATAATTATATTTTCAAAGATTTGAACTTTTAAGTTTAGTATTTGGGATATTGGCAGTTTGGAGGGATATGTGTATCTTTATACGTACATGCTTCTAAACTGTTGTATTCTGGGCACCTCTGCAAAAGCAGTGATAATGTGTGAGTGTGGTGAAAGTGTTGAATGATGATGAAAGTATTTTCTTTTTGGGGATTTTCTTTCTTTTTTGGGTCACCCTGCCTCGGTGGGAGACGGCTGACTTGTTGAGAGAGAGAGAGAATTTATCTCTTAGGAGTTATTGTCATTAAAGAAGAATTTGATATTTTCTTTAACACACCAAATGTCTTCCATCAAGGTAGGGTGACTCAAAAAAAGAAAAAACACATTGTTTTGTCAGAGGCATATCAGTACTACAATTGAGATGCTCCTCCAAACTTCAGTATCCCCATCCCTCCTTCAGAGTGCAGGTACTGTACTTTCCATCACCAGGACTTAAGTCTGGCTAACTGATTTCCCTGAATCCTTTCATAAATGTTACTTAACTAACATTCCAACAGCAGGTCAAGTCATAAAAACCACTTGTTTCCACTCACTTGGATCTAACACACATATACATGCCTGTTGAATGTCCAGCCCTCTCGCATACAAAACCTCTTTTGCCCCCTCCCTCCAACCTCTCCTAGAGTGACCCCTACTCTGCCTGCCCTCTGCTACAGATTTATACACTCTCCAAGTCATTCTATTTTGATTCATCTTCTCTAAATGTCCAAATCATAAACTCTGGAACATGAAAGGAGTCCAATTTTGAAATAAAATTTTGTATTATTTGCAATTTGAAGATTTATAAAATCCCAAGGTAAACAGCCCTTGGAGATTTGACTTTAAATTTCAAGATTTATAGAATGTACAGTATTTTCTTTCAAAACACTTTTTTCCTTAGTTTACCATTAAGACTATGATAAAATATTACATGGTACACTGAAAGACAAGGTTGACATTATTTATATTACCTGCATATTTCTTGTGTAACAGCTGTTGCACCATAAAATGTCTCAGAAAAAGACAGTTCTTTACCTGTAAATACAGAAGTGAAAGCAACTTATTAATCAATTAAGATTGTAATATCAATATAATGACACCACATATACAATACAGCGGAACCTCAGCTTACGAGTTTAATCTGTTCCGTGACCTTGGTTGTACGCTAATATCAACTCGACGGCTTATTTATCTATCACAATTCATCTAATATGACATAATAAACAATATAATTAACCTAGAAACATGATATATACTTTAGAGTGAATAAAATAGGCCATAATATGACAAGTGGTGGCAGCGATGTCCATTCCCTCTCCCACTCTTACTATATTTCCCCATGCTTTTATTATAAAGAGAAAACAGAGTAGTATTTGTGAGGCTAACTGCACTAGTTTCGTAAATAAGTTTCATAAATAAGATATGTTGTATAAAAACATAAAAGAGAATGTAAAGAAATAAAGTGGTTTTATAAAGCGTACGTACGCTGGCGGAGGTGGAGGGTGGAGGTGGAGAGTGAAAGATAGGGTGCTTGCTATTAGTTCCTACTGCCACCCCCTCGCTTGTTTATCTATGATTTCATGCTGTAATTCCATGGACATCATCCTCTTTTTCTTCTCAGCACTGTCCTTTGCACTTACTTTCTTAGGACCCTGGTTAGAAAAAAGAAATTTGGCAATAATAACACGAGAAATGCTTCCACGGTGACATAAACACACTGCACATCTCAGCTGATGTTGTGGCATTGGCTGCGCCACCTAGTGGCAATGTTCTGAAACTTGCTCATTATTATTAATTATTATTATTATTATTATTATTATTATTATTATTATTATTATTATTAATTTAGGGAACTGGACCACAGATCCAATTCCCTAGATCAAGAGCCCCTCACCAGCATCAAGGAACCTCCCTTGAGAAGGAATCTCGCATTCTGAATTTTTGCTCGTATCCAGAAACAAAAAATCAACCGAGTGACTGCTTGTATCCTGAAAAACTCGTTTGGTGGGGCACTCGTAAGCCAAGGTTCCACTGTACAAGCATATGAGGTTATATAAAGACTGCAGGGAAAATATACAGAGGACATTCACTTTGCCAGTGAGACAAAGCATGCTGAGACACTCCTTCAAGACTTTATAGTGACAAATTTAATAATAATTTAATAATAATTTATGAAGGCATCATAAACTTACAGTTTACTAAAGAGAAAAATCTGAAAAACAAATCAAGTTCCCTGAATTTTTGGAGTGACTCAACAAAGAAACAGAAAATTCCATCAGTATTGCTAAACTGCTGTGTGAATTGATGTCACACAGCCACCCTGCAAATAAGTAGTATGACCTACATATTTTCAGTGACTGAACTGCAATAAGTAATAATAATCTAAGTTAATTGCACAATAATTACTTCAAACTGTGGGGTAGCACTATCAGTGCTGCTTGGCTAGTTTTAAGTTTTCTGGTAGAGCTTATATGAGGTAGCCCCTCCAACTTTGTAGGTGGTATTAGTATGCTTTTTCATTGGTCAAAATGCTCTGGGGGCAGAAATATCTAGCAACCTTTACAGAATGTTCCTTCTGAATGCTTATTTGTATGTCCATGATGGTAAGCCTGTCACCAACTCAAGTGGAGTGTACAAGTCTGGTTTTGTAAAGTAAAAGGACACAAGTGCAACTGATGTGACATTTATTGTGGCAACGTTTCGCTCTCCAGGAGCTTTATCAAGCCATTACAAACAATACATGGACACAGAGGGTATATAAAGGCTCAGAGTGAGGTGAATACTAGTGAGGTACCATTTCGATGTTCACTAGTGGTAGTAGTAGTAGTAGTAGTAGTGGTAGTGACAAAAGCAATTAATTCGTACATGAGTAAAAGGATATAAAAGCTATTACTTGGGTAACATAAAAATAGGTTGGACAAATATAAACTGGAATGAGGCAGGTTGTTTCAGTGTTCACTCTCTGTGCTTTGTGTAGTATAACAGGAGAGACTATGTGATGGCAGGGTTTACTGTTTTCAGGAGGATTCTTGCTAAGACTTCGGAGATGGTGAAGCTGCCGGTTGTTTTGTTTAATTGTATTCGAAACAGCGATCAGTGCTGATCAAGGCACTTGCGTGTGCGGAAATTATTTCTTTTATCACTAATTGGCGTCCCTGAATTTCATAAGATGATTGGTGGAATTTCGGTGTTGTACACAGGCGTTGTTTAAGTTGTCGTTCCTACATGCGTATATGTGTTCATTGAGGCGGGTGTCGAGGTTTCTTGCTGTTTCACCTACGTAGATCTTGTCACAGCCTCCACAGGGTATAGTGTAAACTCCTGCATTGACTGGTTCGTGGAGCTTGGGTTTTGTCCTGGTTAGATCCTTTATTGAAGTGGTAGAAGCGATGGCGACTCTGGTGTTAGCTTGTGAAAGTACTTTTGAGACTTTAGTGCAACCTGGCTGTTGGGAAGAATTATAACTTGTTGGGAGCGGTGTTGATGCGTGGAGAATTGATGATCTGAAGAGCTCTTTTCTTGCAGTCTTTGATGAAAAAAGAAGGAAATTGTAACTCAGTGAATGTGTGGTGAATGTAAGTACATTCCTCGTCAAGAAACTCAGGACTACAAATTCGGTATGCTCTTAGGAAAAACCCGATGATGATGCCTCTTTTGGTCTTGGTATCTTGACTGGAATAGAAGTGTGTGAGATCATTTTTATTGGTGGGTTTCCGATAAACTTGAAATCTTAGGTTGTTGTCTACTTTGTGAATGAGGACGTCGAGGAAAGGTAGCTTGTCATTGGACTCTTCTTCTAGTGTAAACTGAATCGCTGGTTCAACTGCGTTGAGCCTTGCCTGAAGATCCCGTACATCAAAACGTTTTGGAGTTATTTACGAGGACATCGTCCACGTAACGTAACCAAGTGACGCTTGAAGGGATGATGTTGGCGAGTGTTCGGACTCTAGGTGTTCCATGTATAAGTTGGCTAGGACGGCACTTATTGGGGACCCCATTCCCATGCCGTAGGTTTGTTTGTAGAGCTTGTTATTGAAGGAAAAACAGTTGAAGTTAACACAGAGTTCAATCAAGTCAACAAAATCTCCGGGAGGTGAAGGAAGATTAAGGTCCTGGTTGACTTTACGTCGTAGAACCTCGAGGCTTTTTTGGTAGGTACTTTTGTGAAGAGGGAAGTCACATCCAAACTGCTTAGTTTCTTGTTACGGATGGAGAGGTTACGGATGCGGTTGAGAAGGTCGCCTGAATGTTTAAGATGAGCGGGCTGATGGTCCCCAGAAGGCAGGAAAGATGTTTGCAAGAACTCCGGCTAGTTTGTGTGGAGCACTGCCTATTCCTGACGTGATTGGTCTGAGAGAATATTGTGTTTATGGGTCTTGGTAAACCATACATGTGTGCTGGTTTTAGGGTTGCTTGGTAACAAGTACAGAAGTTTCTTCCCTTCTCTAGTGCGTTTGAGTATTTGTCTGCTTTTGTATAGAAGTCTTTGGTGAGCGTCTCCCACTGTTGAGTGCTGATAGGTTCGTATGTAGATTGATCATTCAAAAGGTCCATCATTTTAGTGTTGTAGTCACTGGTGTTGAGTATTGACGACTCCACCTCCTTTGTCGGCGGTGGTGACGATAATGTTGGGTCGTTGGCGAGGTCCTTAAGGGCAGTGATGTATCTTCTAGGAAGATTAGAAGAAGAAGGTTCACATAAAGCTGCAGTGAGAAGGCCTGTATATAACCCTTCTGGAAGTTGCTGTCACTGTGTCTATGGTTCCTGGTAACAAGATTGAGTTGATAGTTAGGTTTGCGTATGTTGGTGGTAAATTTGAGTCCCAGACTCAGTGCTTGTTTCTCGTAGTCGGTTAAGGTGCGTGACGATAAGTTGTTTATCAGGATTCGCGTCCCATTTTCCTTCCACCGACTGTTAGTGCAGAGGTACTGAAGTTTGCGATTGAGTTTGATCTTCTGTTGGAGGTTAGCTGTGGTGACTGTGCTGAGAATATGCTCAGCAGTGTGTTGGTCAATCTGAAGATTGGCCCTCATATTCCTTGCAGTTTCAAAGGTTTCCTTAGCGATGTTAGAAAGTTCTTCGGCACATTCAGTTAAGTAAGCTTGGGTAGCTGGAGAGAAGGGGTGCTTGGAGTTGAGAGAGTTGTGCAGGAGTAGACTTAGGGATCACCTTCTCTGCCAGGCAATCTTGTAGGAAGTTGTGTCTGTTGCGATAGCTGTGAGCACGAAGAAGGGTGTCCAAATAACGTCTGCATGAAATGTCCATTATGTTGCGGTGTCCGACAGATTGTAATAAAGTTGGTAGAATTACCGACAATATGTAAAGTAAAAGGACACAAGTGCAACTAATGTGACATTTATTGTGGCAACGTTTCGCTCTCCAGGAGCTTTATCAAGCCATTACAAACAATACATGGACACAGAGGGTATATAAAGGCTCAGAGTGAGGTGAATACTAGTGAGGTACCATTTCGATGTTCACTAGTGGTATAGTAGTAGTAGTAGTAGTGGTAGTGACAAAAGCAATTAATTCGTACATGAGTAAAAGGATATAAAAGCTATTACTTGGGTAACATAAAAATAGGTTGGACAAATATAAACTGGAATGAGGCAGGTTGTTTCAGTGTTCACTCTCTGTGCTTTGTGTAGTATAACAGGAGAGACTATGTGATGGCAGGGTTTACTGTTTTCAGGAGGATTCTTGCTAAGACTTCGGAGATGGTGAAGCTGCCGTTGTTTTGTTTAATTGTATTCGAAACAGCGATCAGTGCTGATTCAAGGCACTTGCGTGTGCGGAAATTAGTTTCTTTTATCACTAATTGGGCGTCCCTGAATTTCATAAGATGATTGGTGGAATTTCGGTGTTGTACACAGGCGACAACTTAACGACAGGAACGACAACTTAAACAACGCCTGTGTACAACAACCGAAATTCCACCAATCATCTTATGAAATTCAGGGACGCCCAATTAGTGATAAAAGAAACTAATTTCCGCACACGCAAGTGCCTTGAATCAGCACTGATCGCTGTTTCGAATACAATTAAACAAAACAACGGCAGCTTCACCATCTCCGAAGTCTTAGCAAGAATCCTCCTGAAAAACAGTAAACCCTGCCATCACATAGTCTCTCCTGTTAATACTACACAAAGCACAGAGAGTGAACACAGAAACAACCTGTCTCATTCCAGTTTATATTTGTCCAACCTATTTTTATGTTACCCAAGCAATAGCTTTTATATCCCTTTACTCATGTACGAATTAATTGCTTTTGTCACTACCACTACTACTACTACTACTACTACCACTAGTGAACATCGAAATGGTACCTCACTAGTATTCACCTCACTCTGAGCCTTTATATACCCTCTGTGTCCATGTATTGTTTGTAATGGCTTGATAAAGCTCCTGGAGAGCGAAACGTTGCCACAATAAATGTCACATTAGTTGCACTTGTGTCCTTTTACTTTACATATTGTCGGTAATTCTACCACTTTATTACAAAGTCTGGTTTTAAAACGGTCTAGGAAAAGGGATCCACTGGACCTAATTGGAATGCTTTCTCCTGTTTCTAGTTTTGTACGTAATCCTTGATCCCTTCCAATTCCTACCCACATTTAGGCCATATTTTCTATCAGTACATTAAGAGATATGATCAGTACAATATATACTGCAACACCTCTTTAATTCCTTAATGAAACCATCTTGTCCCCATCCAGGACTAACCCCAGTTGTGAGCTACGAGGGAGTAATGAGGTATGAAATGAGCTATGAGATACCTAATGTGCTACAAAATACCTAATAATAACAATGGGCTAGGAGGTACATAAAAAGCTACAAAATGCCTAACACTGAGTATGTACTAGCACCAAAACAAAATATTATTTTTTATTACATATAGGGAAACACCCAACCTGTAAGAGTCTAGAACACCTGAATGAAGCAAATACTTCATGAACAAACCTGGTATAACCTATCATCCATACAACACCTCTCTGCTTGACTCACATTTTTTGCTAACTCTGAGGAAAGAGTCTCCTACATATTATCCGGAAGGGTTGCTTCTTCCACAGCACTCTGCGCCATGCCTCCCTCCCCATCCTTTTTCTTAGTCTTCTTCTTCTTCTTCCTCTCCTTCAGGATTCGTACAGTTTCAGAGGTTTCTTCTCTTTCTGATGACTAAAACACTTGTAATGTTTTCACTCTTGCATTAGTTCAGTCTGAAATAGGTCACATCGACTTTAACTTTGGTTAATTCTACGTAATTTACTACATAAAACTACTTTATTCCTAGTACTTTTCCTTTAATTGTAACTGATTTTTCACAAAATGAGTTACTTACCTGTTTTAATTTTTAAGACTTAAAAAATAGGATACTACAAGGCCAAATGGAAATAAGTTATTTTTTTTATCCTTGGTGATTTACAGTGTAAAATTGTTCTCATTGTACTTGCCATAAACTCGCTTGTCTGTTGCTCGCTCACTCAAATCACTCAATTTGGGTCTTTTTTCTTTTTTAAACCGCAGCAATATGTTACATTTTTAAAGATATTCCCCATTTTCTTTTTTGGTTGTTTACAAGAACTGTTAATGTTTACATTACTTCCCACTTCACATGCTTTGGAAAGATCCCAGAATGTTTTCAACGTTGCAGGTTGTTGTTGTTTGGTTTATTAGGGCCACTGGAAGCTTACACCGTAACGAACCCGACTTCCTGATGTCCAGGGAATGGAAATATAAACACAAATGCAGGATAATGTGATCCTTTATTGACAACGTTTCACCCACACAGTGGGCTTTCTCAAGTCACACACGGATCCGTGTGTGACTTGAGAAAGCCCACTGTGTGGGTGAAACGTTGTCAATAAAGGATCACATTATACTGCATTTGTGTTTATATTTCCATTGTGTCGGTATTTTATACCATTTATTACCATGTCCGGGGAAGATTTGTTGAGATAAGATAAGATTTTGTTTGGATTTTTAACCCCGGAGGGTTAGCCACCCAGGATAACCCAAGAAAAGAATTGTGTCCTCGAGGGACTGTCTGTCTTATTTCCATTGGGGTCCTCAATGTTGTTCCCCAGAATGCGACCCACACCAGTCGACTAACACTCAAGTACCTACTTGCTAGGTGAACAGGACAATAAGTGTAAGTAAACGCGTCGAATGTTTCCACCCTGCCGGGGTGTAAAAAACAACAAGAATTCCTTTGTAAATAGAAATAGGAACTAGAAGTTTCCAATTCAATCAGGTGGACCACCTTGCCAAGGCCCAGAAGAGCGAGACACCCACACCCCCAATGGAAATGAGTCACTCTGTCTGACTTTTTTGGGTTATCCTTAGTTCTTTACACATATGCTGCTATGTATGATAATCTATGTAACTGTATTTGTGTATACTTGAATTAACTTACTTGCTGACCTAGGTTTAGTAACCGGCTTCCCACCAAAACCGTTAAAGAATTAACCGCAGAATGGAAAACTGGAGCTGGCTAAAAGTAAGCCGATGATAGGTGTCTCTCCTGTAACGTCATTTGTACTTTGATGTTAATGAGGAGGATGATACCAGGCTTCAAGCTAACAATCTTTTGTAGAAAATGGAAGAACTGGAATTTGCATTTTTTGGGCCCGTATGTTAGGTTACATAAGAACATAAGAAAGAAGGAACACTGCAGCAGGCCTACTGGCCCATGCGAGGCAGGTCCAAGTCTCCTATCGGCTTAAGCCAATGTCCTAACCTACTCAGGTCAGGTCACATTCACTTAAGAAAGGAACACGGCAATTGACCTAGTAGCAAATCTAGTCGGGTCCAACTCACACCCAGCCACACCCACTCATGTATTTATCTAACCTATTTTTAAAACTACACAACGTTTTAGCCTCTATAACTGTACTCGGGAGTTTGTTCCACTCATCCACAACTCTATTACCAAACCAGTGCTTTCCAATATCCTTCCTGAATCTGATTTTTTCCAACTTAAAACCATTGCTACGAGTCCTGTCTTCCATTTATACACCTCAGTCATATCCCCCCTAATTCTACGCCTTTCGAGAGAGTGCAGATTCAGGGCCTCAGTCTATCCTCATATGGAAGATTTCTGATACATGGGATCAACTTTGTCATCCTCCTTTGTACGTTTTCCAGAGCATTTATATCCATTCTGTAATACAGTGACCAAAACTGTGCAGCATAATGTAAATGAGACCTAACCAAGGATATATAGAGTTGAAGAACAACCTGAGGACTCCTATTATTTATGCTTCTTGATATGAAGCCAAGGATTCTGTTAGCTTTATTCCGAACCTTCACGGCGCGCATAACGGAGATAAAACACCTCAATTACTGGGAGCGCTTGAGGGAAATAAATGGTATAAAATACCGACACAATGGCAATATAAACACAAATGCAGTATAATGTGATCCTTTATTGACTACGTTTCGCCCACACAGTGGGCTTTTTCAAGTCACAAACAGAACTACCTGGGGTGGAAGGAACGCGAGTATTTATAGTCCGGCTGAGGTCAGGTGAAGAATGCTGCATCTGATGATGTACCGAGTGGGGTTATAGAGTCTAAAAACTTGGGTAGCTTGGAAAGGAGATTGGATAAGTTTGTGAGCAGACCTTCTACAGTGTTCTTATGTGGGATAGCGATGAAGAAGTTTCTTGGCAAGTGGTTCAGCTATGTTATAGAAGCCACTATTCTGGTTGAAGTTGTCGGATATAGAAATAAGTGATGATTCCAGGATTCTTCGGTATTGATTGTTGTCTTCTGTGGCGATAAGTCTTGAGTTTCTGTAGTTTATCAAGTGGTTGTGTGAATTACGTGTTGTACGCAGGCATTCCTTGTGTCGTCAGACCTGCTTGCGTATTGGTGTTCTGAAATACGTTGTTTGAGGTCCCTTGATGTTTCGCCCACATATAACTTGTTGCAGTCATTACAAGGGATTATGTATACCCCTGCAGAGATGGAGGCTTGTCCTGCCTACTACTGGTGATGTCCTTGATGGTCGTGGTTGTGGAGGTAGATACTTGGAATGATGTTTTGGCAAAGATGTTGGAAACATGTTTGGCAATGGAGTTGGTGGGAAGGACTATGTATCTCTTCTCGGCAGTGTCTTCTCTGGGTGTGTTGAAGATGTTTAATGCTCGCCGTCTGCAGTCTCTGATGAAGTGACGAGGATAGTGGAGTTTAGAAAATATTTGTTCAATTATAGTGCATTCTTCCTCAAGGAACTCGTTGCTGTAGATTCTGAGTGCACGCAGGAAGAAGCCTATAATTACACCTCGTTTGGTTTTGGTGTCGTGGTGAGAGTAGAAGTGGAGAAGATCGTTTTGGTTGGTGGGTTTTCGATAGACTTTTGTTGCAACCCCTGAATGGGTTACAATGATTATGTATATATGTAATGTATATTACCTTTTCATTTAATTTTATATTGCTTATATTTGCGATAATAGCTAAATCGTAAATGTATGACTTTATATTATTATTTGACTGTTATATTGTTATTTAGCTTATGTTGTTAGGATGTATATAAAATGTGCTCAGTTAGGCTTGATTGTCAAACTACTGTAATTATCGCTTGTCGCTCGTTATACTGCCGGCTTCTGAGCTGCAGTTGTCCACGTAGCTATCACGTGATCGAGGGGGGGTGTCTTCACCTCTCGTGAAGTAGTCATTCTGCTGGAGACCGCTTGGTGTTGGACAGATTGTCTGTCTCATTATTCTTGTTAGTTCTGTAGAACTTTGTTCACAAGAACATTGTATAGACTTAGTGATTTTCGACGTTGTACTGAGGTTGTGTGTCACACTGACACTCTGAACATCTCGGGTCCCGAGCTATAGCTTCTGACCTAATTTTGTACTGTTTCTGTGCATTGTCACAGTCGAGTTTTCCTATGCTGAACGAAGATTCAGTATTATGGGAGTTTTGTAACTTTTGTGGAGGATCTGCAGATGGTCCCTACTTAGTGTCGTTATATTATTTCCCAGTTCCTGATTCTGTGTCGCAGTCGCTTGATATTGCATTGCTATTGGGGCTTAGCATTCTTTGTTGTTCAAGCGACTGTTCGGGGTTCCAGTCGGTCAAGAAGTTAGTTTATTTGAGGACTTTGTCAGTCACTTGTTTAAGTCTTATTCGAGTCTTGAGACATAGCTAACTACTTAAGAGCACTTGTACGCATTACACACCCTTACTTGTACATATTTGTAATATCTTATTAAATGTTAATGTACCGACGGTACTTAAGAATTATAAATGTAAATATGTGCTTTCAGCACAATAACATTGAACTCCGAGAGATTGATTTTATTTTGATTGCTGTAATTTAATTTAATTTGATAATATACCTCTAGACAACTTACTACTTAAATAAATTTTATTAAATTTTAATTTCTCTAGTTAGTAGCCTACCAGTTGTAATCCTAAAGCACTATTGAAACATACTGAATTTTAATGGATAATTGGACAAGGATACTGACTACTTGTTACGAAAACCCAGAACAGGCTGGATGCTAGAAGGGCAGTCCTTTCTAGTATTCACTGGAGATCTCTAAGCTTTTAGAATCGCGTTTTTTTGTAACACTTTAAAATGAAGTTCGTGGTCAGCTTTGCAGAGCAGGACATCAAGGAAAGGAAGAGTGTTGTCGACTTCTTCTTCAAGTGTGAACTGGATTGAAGGCTCGACCTGGTTGAGCTTGTCTTGGAGAGCTTGAACGTTGAAGCGTTTAGGAGTTATGAGGAGAATGTCGTCACATAACGGAGCCAGGTTGACAGACAAGGAATAATGGTGGAGAAACGTTCGGCTTCTAGATGTTCCATGTATAGGTTCGCCGGGACTGCCTGAGTGGCGAACCCATGGTAGTCCAAAAGTCCTGCTGAAAGAGGTATTTTTCAAAAGAGAAACACGTAAACCCAAAACACATAGTTCAACAAGGTCGATGAAATCGCGGCTGGAATGGGAAGATCAAGTGAATCGTCAATTTTCCTGCGCAAGAGATCGATGGCTTGTGTAGTAGGTACTTTGGTGAATAGGGAAGTCACGTCAAGGCTGGAAAGTTTCTTGGTTCCTGATGTTGATGTTGCGAAAAGCGATTGAGAAGATCACCCGAGTGTTTGAGATGTGCTGGACTGATAGTGCCCAAGAGTTTAGAGAAAGGGGTTTGGCGAGAATTCCTGAGAGCTGGTGGGGAGCACTGCCTATTCCCGAGGATATGGGCCTCAGTGGGATACCAGGCT